GGAATCTACAACCATGCTCTTGCCCCTCAAGGCATGTTTTTTGTTCCACAAACTCAAATTACTGAAAAGGAACATGATTTGAATCCTCGGAGGCTGCCAAAGCTTCGGTTTGACCTGATGTAAATCAAAGCTCAGATTCTTCAGGGGAGGGTTGGGGCGATGGAAACAGGACCCACAGAAGCGCATCCCTTAGATGGAGGATCTGTCGAGATGCAATAGCTTCAGAGTTTGATGTTCTTGCTTAATGAAGATTTTCTATGATTTTGTAGCAGTATGTTTGCCATCCATTCTTATATGCACACACAGGGTTTTATTTTGTTTGTTTGTTTGTTTTAAAAACTTAGAGCATGACCCATAATGCGCTCCGTGGCGAAGTCAATGGAGAGCTCTGCCTGCTTTATATCGACTTGCCTGTGCCTTTACCTTCCTCTTCACAACCATTAGGTGGTGTTTTCTTAATCAGGAAACAAAAGGTTTTTGTTTTCATTTTTTTGTAAATCCTTATTTGAATTGTTAAAACACTACTTTCTTTGGCAAATATCGCTTAAGTAGAGAGGAAGAAAGAATGGAAGGCAGATGGGATTCTCAGCAAAAGGCTGGGGCCCTGACTTTCTTGAAACCCTGAAGGTGACCCCACTGTCCCCTCAAAGACACCAGCAAATAAAATTAGTCCCTTACCTGCTCATAAGGAGCCCTGGTGGGGCTGTGGGGTAAACATTGGGTTACTAAATACAATGCAAAGTCAGCAGTCCCGGGTCAGCAGTTATTGTGTGAGAGAAAGATGGGACTCTCAGCTCCCATAAAGATGTATAGTCTTGGAAACCCTATGTAGGGTCGCCATGAGTCAGGATCGACAGTGAATTTGTTTTTGTTTAGTTTCGCCTGCTCATCAGAAATGTGTAACATGGAGGGCATACGGGCTGGTCCCCTCTCTTAAACCTGCAGACTTTGCAAATGACATCTCTGAGCTTAAGACTATTTATTGAGATCTTTGCCCGTGAAACTAAGGAAGCATTATGATCAAACGGACTCCTTGCTACAGCCTCGTCTTCCTCTTATCCTCGGGGTCATATTGCACACCCATATTTCAGTCCTTCACCCATTCATTTTGCCTCTACCATTTAAATATGGCTGTACCTTAAAAAACAGCTCAAACAAGGAAGAGGTATCAAATTCAAATAAAGGCAATTTATAAATATTTCCTGTCATTCTTCTACACCTGCATGCTCACATCACCAAGTTTGGTGTGCAAATCTCTAACTCCTTTTGTTTAAGCAGTTCCGCACAGTAATTCTTTTCCTTAACCTTGATCCTTCCCATTTCTTCCTAGCCTATAATTTTTAGAGCATCGTCTGCGGGGGTGGGAAGATAGGTAGAAAGGTGATTTTATAGCGTGGCAAATTATCATTATTAGCATGGGCTGCATTCATAATGGGCTCATGCTTTCTACTAAAAACAATTCCATTACCTGATAATTACCTGATAGGACAAACTTTCTCTGGGTCTGGGAATGCTGAAGAAGTCAAGGGTGCAGAGCTGCATGTGTTCTTATGATGACTAGGTCTTCCATTGGGCTCAATGGACGACTCTGGCAGTGTAGGCATTCCATGAGGGCCACATCTCTTTCTGTGATTGGTGGCTGAAGAGTAGCCCAGGTATCTGTCATTGCTTCCCATTTCACAGAGTGCTGACCAGATGGCTCTACTGTCCACCACTACCTGGACCTTGTTCAAGCACAACTTCAAGGGGCATGGACAGTGTGTGTGACTGGCTGTGTAACTCTGTGTGCTTTATTAACCTTTCTGTGTCTTGAATGCCCACTGAAAACAATTCCATTACCTGATGGGACAAAATTCCCTGGGTCTGGAAATGATGAAGAGAGATAGAGGTTGCAAATAGCCATGAGGCAGATTCCCTGTAGGGAAGGCTGGAAAATCAAATATATTAGACCAATGACACTAGTGGCACTAAGTGACTACAATTGGGCCCCTTACAAGACCAGATACTTACTCTTGGCTAGGCTTTGCATATGCACATGAAAATGCTGAGAAAACATCATTAAGGGGTTAGAACAAAAGATACTGTACCAGCTTGACCCACCAGTTATATTATCCTCAATCCAAGGACCACATTTTACAGCCCACAGAGTGTAGCAGTGGAAGGACATAAGGATAGAATTGAGTGGATGGAAGAAATTATTAGTGAAATAGAGGACAAATCCCTTCATATTAGTTTGTTTAATGAACAAACAGAAAACAGAATGAAAATAAGAGTTGCATGGGAGGAATCTGTACATAGTAGGAGCTCCAGACGAAGAGAAGGTGAATAAAAAGAACAGAAATTTTGAAGGTATGTTGGTATAAAAATCTCCAAATATAATGAAAGACAAAGTTCTAACCAAGAAGCCCAACAAGTCCCATATGTCATAGGCTCCACAAGAAATTTGTTGGTACATATAAAAATTTCCAAAACCAAACACAAAGAATCCTGAAAATAACTAGTGAAAAATGCAATATCACTTACAAGGGGGCACCAGTAAGACTAAGCATTGAAATTTGCGGGGGTGGGGGTGTGGTCATCAGAAAACATGCAGAGAAGAAGGTAATGGGATGATGTTATAAATTCCTGAGAGAAGATTTGCCAACCATGAACCATATATTCAGCAAAGTTGAAAACAACGATGAAACAGACTTTCCAAGATAAGCAGAAATTGAGCACTTTCTAAAAACCAGACCAGCTTTACAACAAATACAAAAGGGAGACTTTTGGACAGAGAACCAACAGCCTCAGACA